TGGCAAGTTTATTTTTCATTGGTTGTATCCATTTCATACTTGCAACCACTCCCTAAATTAGAATGCATATGTTATGAATTGTACATAAATGAAATGGACTTAATATAGGGTTATTGGAAGAATATATATATATTCATCAAAAGAGAGCTAAAAGTTCTATAACAGAAATTAATCAAAACAATGACAGAAATATATGTATTTTCCCTATGATACAGGATAAACAATTCAAATTTTCCACTTCTAAAATGGACTGAAGAAAGAAAAAAGTGGTTGTTGAATATATTATATGAAAGAATTAGAAAAGCTAGAATTTTAAAGTTTCCTTCAGCAACTAGTCTGCAGTAACTCACAGATTACTAACAACTTATGCAAGTTTTACATGCCTATTCCATCTGCTCTTGATTAAAAGAAAAAACTTGTCACCATAGCAACTGCCACATGCCATGGTATTTATGCTGCATCTGATGTACAAAGCATAGTTTGTGTAGGAAGGAGTGTGTGTATGTATATGATGTGGCAGCTGTCGTCTCTGCCATTTTGTTGCTGCTCTAGAATAAAACAAGGAGTGGTTATGAATACTCATTTGAGTAGTGATACTAGTGCTCATTTAACTAAATCCTCACCAAAAATAAAAAATCTAATCAAATATCACACCAATCTGCCAATTTACTCAAAAGGGATTTATTAAATGGCTTATTAAAGAAAAAACCTGACTTTTCATTCTAATTTTTGAGGTAGACTTAATCAAACTGAAGTTCATTTTTCTCCAATAGTCAGTGGCATAGTTTATTTGTGTGTGAAATTTCAATAGAAATTAGCCTTACTAGATAATGGCATTTATGTCTCAGTAAGATCTCTGCAATAAATGTTCAAACAATGTGTCTCCTCCTTTATTGTCTCACAATCTGACATATTCAAATTGCAAGAATTCCATTGGACATAAAATAAAGCTTAGAAATCATGATAAACATTGCTGACATAATTCACCACCCTTTATTCTCTTGCTGACATCTACCATAAAGCTTGAAAATGGAAATACTTGCTTTCTGTTGTCTTGCAAAAGCTAAATGCGTGGAATTCCAGCTTCCCTTGCAGCTAGAGGTAGCCATGTGCTAGAAATCTAATTAAATGAGATCTAATTAAAAGTCTCATGGGGTATATCTAGAAAAACTTTGCTCTCCTAAAATAAGTCACAAACTCTGCTAGCACTATCCCTCATCCTGTCTAACTGCAATTGGAGCTTCCCAGCTCATTTCCTGATACAGTGACAAACAAGGTAGAGTGAAATTATAGAAGAAGCAGAAGTTTATTTTGACATGGTAGGACACTGCACAATCTTCTTTGTTCCTACCACCACACTTCTATTTAAGTACAATGACTAAATTTCATTGGCTTAGACCACTGTCAGTAGTGCTTTCTGTTACTTGCAGGTGAATGCACTGTAATTATAATACATTTCAAACATGAGAGAAAGCTAATCAGCTAATAGTAAGCTGAAAGCATCCAAAACAGAAAACTAAGAACAAACTACAGATAATTCTCTAACAGGTTCTCTTCTAGTCAACACTTCACCTCTGTTTCTGTCATCCTTTTCCTACACGTAAAGAAATCTTACCAGACATAAGCATATCCAGTTAAATCTAGAAGTAATTACCGATGACAGGGAAAATCCAAATTGTCCTCTATTATATATTCAGTAGCAGTGAAAGAGTAATATGGTGAGAGAGCAGATACAAACAGGTAGTTTGAAACTATAGCATGTACTTTGCTTTCTTTTTCATGAACCCACATTTCACACCTCTGCTTGGTGAGAAGTAAGAGGTACAGTTACATATTGCGGTCCAAGAACCAAGAAATATTTCCCACTTAGAAAATTTGATCTACATCCAGGCTAGATCAAATTTAAAGTCTATATAAATAAATTGAATGTAATTTTAGTTTTAATAAATTTACACATTCATTTAGTTCACTCATTTATCAATACATATAAAATTGCTATTCTATTCATGCAACAGAATTACTGATGACTGTACAAAAAAAAATAACTCTGTTTAGAATTATTATCTTTCCTAAACACTGGTCATCCAGATATTAAGATATAGTAAATAACTTTGAAAGCCTGGGAAATCTTTAAACCCTGTTGCACATTTTAATAAAATAACATTTTTTCCCTTTGTGAATCCATAGCTCCAAAAAGACTATAGCTATGAAGCAGATAATTTTTCCCATTCTATATTTGTACAATTTTATTCTGACCTAAATTTAAACATTAAAGAAAAATTCAGGGGGTGGTATGAAATAGGACATAATTTGTCAAAGCATTCACCAACTTGTAATGAATTCACTGTTATAACTATTACTGAAATATTCTTTTAGATGTCCAAGCAAGAGCATGCAGCATATATAATGTATACACAGCCAAGTATATAAAAATCTCTCCATATATGTGTGTGTATGTGTGTGTGTGTGTATAAACAGTGTATATTGCCAGATGGAATTTCAGGTGTCTACATCATCATAGCTATTATTAAATTATCTTTTGTGATGATACCTCAGGTAGTCAAGACTGTTATGCAACAGGGAGTTAGGGAAACATCTCCAGTTTTTAAAGCTATTAAAATTTCTTGCAGGTGTGTTTGAGAGAAGCACAGTACAAATTCTCTTGCACACTATGAGGATTAGAGACTCTGAGCCCATCCACAAGGGGCAATTAACACAAACAGTGTGGGGGAAGAAACAACCAGAGTTGCAAACTAAACAGAACTCACATTGTACTTGTATCCCCCAATTATATTGCAAAGCACAGATGTTTATTCCACAAAATAAATGATATTGGCAGTTTTGGGCTATGATATAATCCTATAGGGTCTATCTTTCTAAATACCTACTTTCTACTGATCGTTTTCCCCCGTTCTCAAGATTGTGTTCTCTTTTTTCCCCTATGATGTGAACCTATTAAAATATGAAGATCTTTACCTACCTACTTGTTGCAGTTAACATAAGCCTCAATATGCTACATCTGGAATAGAATTATTTCCCATAGTGATTTCAGTTAAAGGCTTATGGGAACATACTAATCAAAACCTTCCTAAGGTCCATTTTCTCCTCAAATCTGCTGTTTATAAGAAACTAGCTGTTTCTCTTGATACAATGCAAAGTTCATTCCAATTAGTCCCAATACCACAATGCCAGCGATCCCAAAAAAGCAAGATTTCCCCCTTTTAATGTTGCCCAAGTCTACCCATTTATATAAGAAAACTTAAAATCTTTATTCTTTCTCTGCATTCCAGAAATCTCATGAGTCATTTCAGATGTAAGAACAGCATAGAGAAGAGCTGTGGCTGACATACCAACCTGTCATTTAAGAAAGCTACATTAATCAATAACACCTGAACAGTTCAATTACTGAATAAGAAAGGCAAAGAAATGGAAAAAAGATTAATAGGTCTTCCCCAAAATTAGACCCCTAAAATCAAAGAGGAGCTTCAACCTATGATGATTTGAAAAGACTATTACTGCTTGAGTTAATATATAATTATCAAACCCTTTTATTTATTTTTTCCCACATACAGCAGCCAGTTTCACTGACAATTTTCCTGCTCGTAGAATTTTTCACCTTTGATTAATGACACTTAATAAAAATTCCAGCTAGTTTCAATGAAAAGAAAAAGAGTCACTTGAACCAATGGTGAAGTACCTTACACAGCTTTGCTAGGAAAGGTTAACAGCGGGATTACTCAGGTCTTTGGAGTACATCTTTCTCTCATAGTATGTTAGCCTGTTTGGATAGTGCATTAACCCCTTCCAAATGCTAGGTCCATTACCAATGATTCATTTTGAAAGATATTATTTAATACTTATAAGTGCATCCCATTTTTTCCTTAAAGAATTTTTGAATATTACAATGATATTTAAAATAAAACAGGGTAAAATCCAAGAGGATGATAATAAAGAGAAAATGAAATTCTTCAAGACAACACAAATCAAGGCCTGGGTCCACAAACCAATTGTACACAAATTACCTAGGAATAAAGTTTAACTATTCTTTGCACACCCAGCCTACCAGGAATTCCTCCTGACAATACTCACACTACATTAAAGGAATGGACAATGTCTCTACAGTGCCACGAGATTCATGGACCTTTATTCTCAATAATCCCTTGCAACTGACCAATTGTACTACATTGTACAGCATTATGCATTCAGAAAAAAATATCTCTATGGCAGTGAGAAGACTTACTCTATGAACCAAAGTTCGAGTCCCTCCTATGTGACAGTCACTGTTCTGGTCTTTGGGATACATCACTACATAAAATAGATGCCTCCCCCAATAGCCTTGTGAAATTTACATTCTAGTGGGCTAAGTACATAATTTTAAAGAAACATGATAGATAGGGAAATCTACAGCATTAAAAGTGCTGAATGTGAAAGAAACTTATAGAACTAGTTAAGGAAAATTGAAAATGGCAAAGTAGACTTAATGCATTTGTTAAGAAGACTTCAATTGTGGAGCCTAGCTTTAGCCTTTTACTCACCTGCTCGTGATCAGTTTTATTAGTTAGGAAATATCTTTGTTGGCTGCCTCTCTATCTAGCTTCTAGGAACTTCATGGTCTGTTAGACATGGATCTCTGAGAAACTAAGTCATTCTAGCCTCACTGCTCAGTAGGGTAATTACAGCCATCTAGCCTCTGATAGTTGAGTGCACTGGAGACTGCTCTCCTTTAGTAAACGAGAGGACTGAATCTGCTGGCCTGGCGGATTTAGGAACACCTGGGAAGTTTTCAAAAATCTACATTCTCCCCTGCCACATACTAAGTTCTGCGCCTTCTGAAACAGGACTATGTGGGGGCTATAGCAGGTCAAAGACAGTGCGCTGTAGAAGATAGGTCACCCATGCACAAGTGCAAGACCACTAAGGTTCAGGAACAATAATGGGGTTTATTTAACAAACAGGGAAAACAAAAAGTTTCTAGGACCACAAGTGTCTGGGTAACTCACCGTAGAGAGTGCCCACTGTCCAGAAGCTCCAAACAAAAGTTCGCTGGTTCAAAATGGCAACGTCCCACCAGTAGGGCCTGGAGCGCAGGCAGCCGGCAAGGAGCCGCAGGGATCCAACTCACTGCTGCTGGAGGTGCTCACACGCAGGGCTGCTGAGGTGACGCTGCAGCAGCCCATACCCACAGTCTGAAGGTCGGGATGGACAGCACCAGATGCTGGACCAGACAGCAATAGAAGAAGCAGCACTTAAACGCAGTTCCTGGCATCAGATACACCTGCTAACAGCTCTCAAAAATGACCTGAATAAGGGCCTCCCTGGTGGCGCAGCAGTTGAACGCTGGCTTGCAAAGCTACCCGCAGCCTCTGCAACACCGGTTCGATCCCCGGCCTCCAGGCGAGTGTCCCACATGGCTCACAGACCTCTCCTGCCGCCCGCTGCTCCCCTCAGCAGTGTAGCTCGGTCCCTCTGCCTGTTCTGCTCCCTGCTCTGGCTCTGGTGAATTCTCTCACCCTCCCGCGCTTCTGACTGTACCCAGTGCTTGTATGTATAAATAAATAAATAAATCTTAAAAAAAAAAAAAAAAAGACCTGAATAATTAGTGAGCTGATGAACTTGCTTGCTTCTCATCAGTCCATTCTACGTTCAAGGAGCCAAATATAAAAAGGCTAGCACAGGGCCACCATCAAGCCCTGCCACCCCTGTTCCTCCAGTAGCCCACGCAGCACTTTTAGCCGCCAGCAAGATGCTCCGGATGGGCTTTGAGCTCTGGCCTTGCTGGCACCCAGGGGAGGGGCTGCCTGCAGGCTGTAACTTGTGGTGCAAGCGCACTTTTCCAACAGTGCTCGCCCCTTAGCCAGGGGTGGGCAAGAGCCATTCTCGCCCAGTAGAACACGTTGTGGGGCCCTGGTTTCACTTCCCAATCAGGATACTGATGTTAAATATCCCTGCTGGAAGGGGAACATCTTTATAAAAATTCGGGGGTCTGATTTATGGCATGTTCAGACATTTGGAAGCAGATTAGGATTTCTTTCAGTATTTCCATGTCAGCCTTCCGGATTTCTTTGCTGAGGTAAGCTTATCTGTATCTTTCTTCAAGGCCTCTAAATCAGTAAATAAAAGCCATCTAGCTCTACATTGCTTATAATTGCCAAGCATTAATGCTTAGATGCTAGAGCTAATTCAAAAGCAGTACTTTCCTCTGCCAACCAATATTTTATCCCTTTCTGTCACAGTGCTAGTCTAAGGCATTGTGATAGTTCATACACAAAAGATTTTTCACAGCACATTTTACCATCAACAATTGGTAAGAAGGATTGAACTTTTAGAGGTGAACTTAATGCGCCATATATACATGTTGCTTTTCAATGATTCAACAGAAATTTATGCAATGATGCAATGCAATATTACTTCAATAAAAAAGTGGGTTTTTGTCATCTGATGGCCAAGAAATCTGATACCAGAACCAGATCCTAAAAATCAGGGTTTTTTAGAGCCAAGTGTGGTGCAGTTGTCTTGGGGCTTCCTTAAAACCAGACCCTACAATAAGGAGTTAAGTGCCAGAAGCTTACATAGGAGAAATTCCTGGAAGAGCTGGGGATGTATGAGTTATAAAACGCAGAAGGAAGAGAAGCCATTATGGGTGTGCATGGATGAGCCAGCATTGCAGGGGAAAACTTTGGGTTGATCCTATTGTGAATCTTCTGGGACTCTGTCAAACATACCACAGGGTCATTTTGCTAGAGCTCTGAGTGGCTAGTACATTTTCCACCAAGTTCTATCCTCACTGCTTGCAAGATACCAGTGTAGTGGCTAGCTTCTTTGCATAAAGTATACCGTGCCTATTGTGGTGGAGTAAGTTTCACTGTCATAGAATTCCTTCAGAAAGGGAGAAAGAGAGATGTAGGCACTTGTAATATTAAGCTGGCAGCATGCACACTCATCAGTAATTTACACCATATGTAGAGATTATGGCCTTGGACAAACATAGCACCTGTGGCATTGCTCATGCTCAAAGTTTAAACGTTCACACTTAACTTAAGAATTAACTTTTTTCAGTTCTTTCCAATCATTTTTTCAATATAGTTTCAGTACTTCTGCAGAAAAATGTAAAGACTTCGGAGCATCTGAAATCCATTTAACAGCACCTAATTCATAAATTACTGCTGTCAGGTATTTTAATGATATTAAAACAAAAATTTACTAAACACCATAAAAGAATATTTTTAATGTTTTAATCAATTGATACTCATTAGGGTTACATTTATAGTCAGCATCTCCCCCACCCACACCCACCCCATATCTCTTGTCTTCTCTAGGATTTTATTCCTTCTTCCTAAAACATATCCTGTAGAATTTTCCGTAGTGTAACCTAATAGTGATCATATTTTTTTTAAAAGATTTATTTATTTATTTATACAAGCACTGGGTACAGTCAGAAGCACAGAAGGGTGAGAGAATTCACCAGAGCCAGAGCAGGGAGTAGAGCAGGCAGAAGAACTAAATACACTGCTGAGGGGAGCAGCGGGCGGCAGGAGAGGTCTGCACGCCATGTGGGACCATCCTCTGGTGGCTGGGGGGCAGCTGGGGATCGAACCTGCGCTGCAGAGGCTGCGGGCATCTTTGAAACCTGGCACTCAACCGCTGCGCCACCGGGGAGGGCCAGTGATCATATTTTTTATTGTGTTGTTGGTCAATAAAAATACTTATATTTTATGTTCATTTTTGAAGGATGTTTATATGATTGGCTACCAAATTTCAGTTTTGAAATTCTTTTTTTTTTCCTAAAACATCTTAAACATCATTCCTTTCAGCTTACGGTTTTCATTGTTGCATTTAAGGAGAAAGCTCTTGTGTAACCATTATTTCTTTAATGGTAATATACTTAAATTGCTTTTATAGTTGTCTCTTTGTTTTTTCTGAGCTATTATTGTGTACCTAAGAAAGATTTTTAAAAATGTCCCCATTTATGATTCAGTTGGGCTTTTAAAATATCAAGGTGTGTATCTTTCATTGAAGTATTTGCAGCTATTTCTTTGTAGAATATTTCATCTACCCCAGGCTCTTTTTTCTCCTCTTCTGAGATTTAAAGGATCTGGATATTAAATTTCTACTCTGAATCTTCTAAATTTCTGATCCTTCATCTGTGTTTTTCATCTTTGTGTTCTTCTATGTTTCTTTCTGAATCATTTCCTCAGATCTGTTTTCAGGTAACTCATTTCTTCCATGTCTAATTTTCTCTTAAATCTACAAACTGTTTTCTTCATTATTGTACCATAGTCTTCATTGTATAATTTTTATTTACTTTTTAAATTTCCTATGTCACTTTTTATTTTTTTATTTAAGATTTATTTTTATTTATGCATACAAGAACTGGGGTGTAGGCTAGAGCTGTGCTGGGGGTGGATGGGGGGGAGGGCAGAGGATTCACCCTAGACAGAGTGGGGAGCAGAACAGGTAGATCTACTGAAATACTGATGAGGGGAGCAGCAGTCAAGACAAGAGAGGTCTGCTGCACCATGTGGGTCAGCTCCCTGGCGGGATCCAACTCATGGTGCTTTAACCCCTGCGCCACCAGGGAGGCCCCTTATGTCACTTTTAAAATTAAGACCTCAGGGCCTCCCCGGTGGCGCAGCGGTTGAGCACTGGGTTGCGAAGCTGCCCGCAGCCTTGGCAGCGCCGGTTTGATCCCCGGCTGCTCCCAGGCCACTGGAGGAGGGTCCCACATGGCGCGCAGACCTCTCCTGCCGCCCACTGCTCCCCTCAGCAGTGTACTTTGGTCCTTCTGCCTGTTCTGTTCCCCGCTCTGGCTCTGGTGAATTCTCTCACTCTGCAGCGCTTCTGACGGTACCCAGTGCTTGTATGTATAAATAAATAAATAAATCTTTAAAAATAAACAAACAAATAAATAAATAAATAAAATTAAGACCTCAAATTTAAAACAGCAAAGCCAGGGGAGGTTCAGAGATTTCCGATGCACCCTCTAACTTCATACATGCATCACGTCCTCTGTTACCTTCATCCCCTGCCTGAGTGGTATATTTGGCACAATTGATGAGCCTACAGTGACGCAAAATTATCCAAAGACCCTATATTATATTAGGGTTCATGAGTGGTTTTGCACATTCTATGGATTTAGATAAATGTATAAAGACATGTGTCCATCATTATAGCATCACATGGTAGTTTCACTTTCCTAAAAATCCTCCTGCTCTGCCTATTCATTCCTTCCCTCCCCTCTTCCAACATCTGGCAATCACAGTTTTGTTTTTTTTTTTTACTGTCTCCATGGTTATGCCATTTCCAGAATGTCATCTAGTGAAAATCATGCAATATTTTCACTTAGTAAAATGCACTGAAAATGCCTTCATATTTATTCCTGGCTTGATAACTCATTTAATTTTAGTGCTGAATAATAGTCCATTGTTTGAGTGAACCACAGTTTACTTATTTGTTCCTCATTATTTATAGGCTTTTTGCATTTTATTAAGGGATATTAGCTTAGTTAAAATATTCATATGAAATTGATCACTCCGATCAATATAAAAATAATATCAACTGGAGAATTTCACTTCCAGTAGTAACAAACTAGCTGCTCCAAACCAGTCACCTATTTCAGAAAAATTGAACAAATTGGTTAAAGTTTAAAAGGAAAGAGTTTCATTGATGTCTGGGTCACTACATGACTGATAATACATAGCATAAAAATAATGTTTAATTTATATAGAGAATCATTTTATTGAGACTTAACTAACATCAAACATTGCATAAATTTAAGAAATTTCCATATCTTAGCTATTGTGAATAATGCTGCAATAAATGTAGGAGTACAGATATCTTTTCAACATCCTGTTTTTATTTTCTCTGGATATATCAGTATATTGTGATGTTGGTTCATATTGTAGTTCTATTTTTAGTATTTTGAGAAACCTCCATACTGTTTTCTGTTGTGACTAAATAAATTACATTCCTACCAACAGAGCACAAAGTTTATCTTTTTTCCACAAAATTAGTTATCTTTTGTCTTCTTGATGATAGCCATTCTAACAGGTATGAGTTGATAACTCATTGTGGCTTTGATTTGCATTTCTCTGATGGTTAGTGATCCTGAGCACCTTTACATATACCTGTTGATCATTTGAAAGTAATTGCTAAAATGTCCACTGCAATTTCCCTCTGAAGTTGTGCTTTGTCAATTTGGAATTAATCAAACATTCATTTCTAATTCCTAACTCTCTATCTCAGTGCTAAAATGTGTAATTATTCCACTGAATTAACCAAATCTCTTTCCTACACAAGGCAGAACTGGCCTATGGGCAAGAGCCTTAGGAAGTAGGAAAATAACAAAATATCATTGGAATCAAAATATAAAAATATTATTTAGTTATAAGTAAATACTTAATATTAGATTCAACTAAGAATGTAGAGCTGTCTTCATTTTAAGAGGATATTGCCTTATGATCACTGCTATCTTTATAATCTCTGGCTATTTTTAACCAGGCAAAAATGCAGCAATCCAGCAGTGATACTAATAAAGTATACATGAGAACTGGCTTTGTTAGAACTTTTGATGAATTTAAACATTCCACAAAATTCCCCCCCAAATATTTTCTTTACTGATATACCATAGGTCATATTTTCTTAACTATGGCAACAGGTTAGGCGGAAAAGGCATAAAAGCTTTGTCTTCAAAATATTAATGTAACTTTTGTCCCTCTCTAATATGTATATTTACACAGATTATTTAGTTAGAAAGGTACAAAGTACTGGCCTGGGGCAAGACGTTAAAGAAGTTTCACTTGGAAAAGTCAACATAGCATTGACTTGTTCAAAATTTAATGAAAGGAATGTATAGCTGATAACAACAGACCTGAGAAAGGAAGCCCAGCAACATCAAATCCCTCATTTCATCAATTCTTCCATGTCTGAATGCACACATGAGTAGAAAAGCATTAAAGATGAAGAAAATGTTACAAATGAAGAATAAAAACGTGAAGATAGAAAGATCACTGGTGCTTGGCAAGGAATTGATAATGGGCGATAAAGAAGAAAGCATAACAGATCATTTGATGACAGAGGAAGAAAGTCTAACATTTTAAAGTCATTTGACCCCAATAATGGAGAATAATGACACCATTTACAAACACAGTAAAGTTAGTTTGGGGAGATGAGTAACGATTTTAGTTTTGGAACTGTTAAGCTTGAGGGATAGCAGTGTATAATAAATGATGAATTGCTGATCTGAAGTTGGGATCAGATGCTACTGATATGCATGTGACAGACAGTTGTGTACACACAGAATGTAATAGTATAGTACAACACCTTAAGGGAAACATGACAAATGGGAAAAGAACATAGCTAAAGAAGTTATAGTAGATGCCAATGAGAAGGTATCCTGATTCTCTTAACTAGCTGGAACATCCTTCTCCCTACTGCCAATTGTTGACTGAAAGTATGGATACAAAGTCCAGGTCTTTGCCTCAGAAAGAAAATTGTGTTGCATTTTGAAATCCTTATCATTCTATAGGATCAACTGAAGTTGCTCTCCAACAGAAGCCATATTATTGCTTAGTTGTTTTTCTCTCCTGCCTTATCCTTTGTCTCTCCTCCTCTTCTATTCCTTTTCTAATAAATCACTTGATCAATAACTTCCAACTCATGGGCCTCCCCTGGTGGCGCAGCGGTTGAGCGCTGGACTACCAAGCTGCCCACAGCCTCTGCAGCACCAGTTCAATCCCCGGCCACCAGCGAGGGTCCCACATGGCACACAGACCTCTCCTGCTGTGCCCACTGCTCCCTTCAGCATTGTATTTCATCAGTCTGCCTGTTCTGGGTTCCCCGCTCTGGCTCTGGTGAATTCTTCACCCTCCCGCACTTCTGACTATACTCAGTTCTTGTATAAATAAACAAATAAATCTTAAAAAAAAAAAAAACAACTTCCAACTCATACTTGACATAAGTGGGAGAATAAAATCCAGGAAAAAAAAGTGGAGTAAAAACTTTTAGAAATATAGGGCTATATTCAGGATATTGTGTGAGACAGAGTCTAAATGATGGGGAGACTTGTAATTGGTGTCAAAGTTAATTGTAAAAGATAAAGACAACATAATTAGAAAATTGAGATGACAAAGTGACAATTTTAGTAGAGTATTATAGATATATTTTTCAAGAAATTTTGATGCAGAAGGAAGGAAAGATTTGGGATGATTGATTGAGGAAATCAAGAATCACATCCCTCTATTCAAATCCAATATGCAAAACAGAGAAAATAAATGAAATGAGCAAAAACAATGCTACTTTGTGAAAGAGTAAATGGGACAACTCTAAAACATTTACACCTACTTTTGTACCATTTCACTTTCTCCTCTACTGCTATAGAGCTGTGGGGGTTCTGCAACGCTCTCATCTGTAAAGAGAACAGATTGAAATCCACTGATTTAGAGGAAGAGTGGAAGATAAGATGAAAACTAAGACAGAAAATTCTGAGAGGATTTACTTGGGACTATTACAAAGGCATTTGAACCTCAACCATTTTGGATGTTCTTAGAGACATAAATTCTCAGCATTATTTCCAGAGATACCTATAATTTTGTCTAAACTTTTCCAGAAAGTTGGGATGTAAAGCTAACCTTATATTGCCTTTTAATAAGGTAGATTCTGAAAACTTAGGTAGAATTTGCAAACCCCATCTTCAGAAAGGAGTGTGAAGAAATAAATTCAAATATATTGTTCAGATACTATCTCAGGTGGCAGTCAGAAATAATGTAAGTTATTTGCACCTTTCTTATTTATTCTTTCTTATAATTATCTATGCCCACACAGTCAAGACACAAATCCTGATATGATTATGATATAAGGACCCAAAAGGGACTGCTGAGCATCAAGGTTTAGAAGAATTCCCATGACATATTGCATATTAACAACTACCTAGGATAAGGATGCTGCAGTAGGATGCCAGGACTAGGAACTCCAGTGTCTGCTACAAAGAAAGACTTAATGGAAAGTGAAGTCCAGTGCTAAAGCAATTGAAAATCCAAAGTTCAATACAACAGGGCACATATGGGGTTACGAGAACCTACGAGAACCTAACTTTGAATATCAGTAGAAAATGAGAGAGGGAAGAGATGTGCAAAGAATTGGTATTAATGATCATCCAGATATGAAAGGTTGTTACTAAGAAAGAACAATGCAAAATGAAAACCTTCATTTCCTTATGTAAGGAAACTATTAAACGTGGTAGGGTTAGAAGTTTGTTGTGATAGTATAATATAATGAACTATTTCCGGTCCATTTTCATATGAGTTGTTCCTAGGTATTGTTCCTACATTTGTTATTTTTTTAAAGATTTATTTATTTAAGCATACAAGAACTGGGGTACAGGCCAAAGGTGCAGGAGGTGAGAGGATTTAGTAGAGACACAGTGGGGAGCAGAACAGGAGGATTGACTGAAATACACAGCTGAGGGGAGCAGCAGGAGAGACAGGAAAGGTCTGCTGAGCCATGTGGTTTAGCTCCCTGCTGCAGTGGCTGTGGATAGCTTCATAGTGCTGAGATTTAACCCCTTGCACCACCAGGGAGCCTCCTATTCCTAAATTTATTTTTGTGGAACTTTTTTGTTGTATCCCTCTATAAAAATGAGAAATGAAGATGCACAAAATCCTATAGTAAATTATAAAAGTTAAACTTGGAACTACTGTAGTTGTTCCATGATCACATATTAAATCTGCTTAAAACCACATGGACTTCGGGCCTCCCTTGCTGGCACAGCGGTTGAGCACTGGGCTGCGAGGTTGCCTGTAGCCTCTGCAGCGCCTGTTTGTTCTCCGGCCACCAGTGAGGGTCCCACCAAAAAAACAACAAACAAACAAACAAAAAAACCCCACATGGACTTAGTTTAGAATATACACAGACATTTGCAGTGGTATATAATCGGTAATAATTTACCACTGCAGATGTAGGTATCATCAACTGATTTAAATATAAAAGAACACAAGTTTCTCAACAATTCATGGGAAGTTGGTTCTCTTTTTAAAGAAAAAGAATTGCTTTTGAGAGTAATTAAAATAACATTAGCCACATTTTCCCTTTTTCACAATAAATATTATCTTCTGAGCACTCAGAGGACATTGGTAACCCTGTTCACCTCTTTACCACCATCACCATTAGGCAGTCTAAGACTTCCCTGGATAATGCAGAAAAGTCAAGGGTAGAGCGTTCTGAATTCATCATGAATTGATTGACATTCCCAGATGAATACATTTTTCCTGCCTGTAGGACATAGCATCAGACACAAGGAATCATTGTGCCCATGACTCCACTTTATGACCCAGGCTCTTTGAGACTCAGCCTTAACACAAACACTGCAGGAGGGTGCAATCAAGGTGAGATGAGCAATCTTAATTCTCTTCCCCAAAGCAAAAATGCAGATAAGGGCAAGAATAGAAATTCCCAAAACACAACTGTTAAAAGACTATCAAAAAGACTATATTAAAGTGAGTAAGTGAATAAGCATAAATGAAAAAAGCTTTCATTAAAAGACTCTACAAGTGCATTCTATTTATTAGTTATTTGTAAGTAATAACTAATAAACAAAATAGTATATAGTTGATTGACTGAATTCACAATTTATCTATCTGAAGAAAAAAGCACCTTCTTTCCTAGACATCACTCAGTGATAAATTTTAAGATAGCCAATGCTTTTTCTATTCTGGCCTAAGAGATCCATTATATTTGTTCCTACCATACTACTAATGCTAGCATTCAGATTTTCCAACAAAGTATGATTTGGCCACCATTGAAACTCAACAATCTTTCAAAAGTTCTCTCACTGTCACAGAGGTCAAGTTCCTTCATCATCACTGGTTTGTAATACTCACAGAGAGGGGAAAGGAACATGGAAGCCCAGTGTCACCAGGAGTCTGCCTTGACCCTATGAGAAAAGATCACTTCCAGTTTCGGAGCTATTCATAACTTCTGTGGTCCACAAAACTCTCTCCTTCAGGAAAATCAAATTTACAAAGTTTCTCCTGAATAACAAATTGAATTTCTTGATGTCTTTCATCTTTCTTTACAACAGACCTAATTGTCTTTACTAAACATCGATCACCTTTTGGCTGCTTCAAACTCGTTTTATTAAAACAATTTTGCATAGAGTATAACAAATCCATCCACTGACATAAATGAAGAAAAGTTATTTGCGTTGGGAAAGTCACTTCACTTTTGCCAATATATTATGTAACCTAACCATGGGAGTGAAATTTCATTCATATACTCATGATATTTTCTTTCAAAGGGAAAGGAATTAGGGCAGGCAGACCCCTCGGAGCTTAGTAACTTAGAGCCCATGTTAATGTCTTGCTTATCACATCTAGAAAGCATTAGGTTGCTACCATTTCAGAACTTCTAAGAAACAACAAAATAGAATGTGCACATTTGTTATCTACACATATAACTACATGGTGTGCTATAGAAGCATCTAAGCACTGTACATGTTGGGAGTGGGAAAGTGTCATCTTCACTTCTCCCTCTTATGGCTTCCCAATCAATGTGAGAAAAGAAAATAAACAACACTGATTAATAGTGAAACTAGTTAGTCTCCCATCTCACTTCTTAATTTAGGCTTTAATACCTCAAGTCTGTTACAAGGAGAAAAGTTGGCGTATGGTAGACCTTCTAAAGCAGACTCTGTCTCTTATGCACATAGAGAAAACGTGCATTAAAACCTGGTTTTAATAACTAAAAGAAAGTGAGACAAGAAAGAGATGAACCTGTCTCTGTACTGTTTGGTTCTACTCCCTAGTTAACAAGGGCCACCAATCAGCATAGGCTAGATTATGAAAGGGTAACAAACAATCCTCAAATCTCAATGGTTAACACATCAACATGCCTTTCTTACTTATACTACCAGTCTAACACTGATGAGCAGAGCTTTCCTATTTACCAGGTTTTAGAAATCCTTCTCTGGACCTTCTTCAGTCTTTGGAGGTGCAAAAGGAAGAAAATGTTAAGTGATGTACTGACTCTTAACACGTCACTTCTGTTCAATTTTTATTGACCAGGACAAGTTGCATGGCCACAGGGAGCAGTAATTGCAACCCTACCTTGTACCTTAAAGGGGTGGTCACAACTCAGTGAATGGCACTTCTCTCCCACGGACAATGCAGGAAACAAGTAAGTCTTCAAAGGTCTTTAGTTTCAATACTGTCCCCTCTAAGAGTATGTGATCTTTAATGAAAATGTGAAAAGAGAAACATAACAGTTTCCTCTTAACAGTACTTATAGGAAACAGAAAACATTTGGGAAACAGCCCCGTGGTGCTAACTAAGCCTTACCTTCTTAGAGATTGCTTATAAGAGTAGCTAACAAATACAGCTCTCCCAAGACTGTTTTGCCAGCAGCTGAGAGAGGTCCTAGCCCCACACCACAGGCTCCAATTCAGAAGAGGAAGACTGTGCCTGCCACATTTTAGGAGGCCGCCTTCAAATTCAGGCTGCGTGTCTGGAGTCTCTGTGCGGAACAGGATCTGTGAGCTGGCTCTGTGCTGGGTGAGAAGTGTGAAGCCTGGTGCCAGAACGCGAGTGCACATCACGTCCTGGCACAGCTCTCTCGGAAACGGACAGAAGACCAACTGTAACATACGGCTCATTCTTCTCACGTACTAAATGGAAAGGCATTAATCACTGGGAGGCCTCCCAGAAATTAAAGTTCATCTCTTGGTTATGGGGTGTCAAAAGGCAAATGTGGAGTGTTTTAAATTTGCTTAGTTTTTCTGTGATATAAAATACAGGTTTCAAATGCTGGCTTTATCATCAAAACAGGCTGCTGGTCCTGCCAAAGCTAACATAAAGAGAAAACCCAGAACTCCACACAGGTTTCTCATATATAGCACAATTTGCTCCAAAGACAACTATTTTAAAATGTAGATTAACCCTTAATGTCTGCATTTTACAAACTGAAACTTTCAAACAATGAAGTCCCATCTGCCAGCGCTGAAAGACCAAGTGGCAAGTTATTGACCTAGGACTTTCTACAGTGAGGGTGAGAGCACTCTGCCCAGCCTGCTGTCCATCTCTGTAGCAAGGGTGTGGCCTCCACCCTTGGGCAGTCTCTGATGTCAAGGCAACCATGATATTCTCTAAAATAAGGAAGAGATTCAGGTGTATTTTTTTTCTGTGAGAAAGTACTAAGGTATCCATGAATTATTACTACCTATGAGATGCAACTCAATCAAAGCCATGACTTTGAAAATGATCATCATGCACATTGCAGACGGGTCTCAAGGGCAAAAATATGAATACATGTAAGCCTATTACTTCACATTCATCACCAAATGAAAATAGATACTTTTTGATTTACCTATTCTACCTTACAATGTTTGCATAAGAAAGAAAGCAAATGATAGTTTAA